CTCCCCAGCCCCAGCCCCGGCCCCGCCCCGCCCAGCGATCCTCCGCTCTTCGGCTTAGGGCGGCTTCGCCTCAGCCTGCGCTGCGCCCTCCCAGCCTGGGGCGTCGCTGTACCGGCCTCCGCGCTCCACAGGGACACCCACAGCGCTTCAGCGGAGGTGGGAGGCGGACAGGAGGGGTTGGGGGGTGGTGTTGCCACGGTCTAGGGGCTACAGGCGGTGGCGGCGGAGTTGGTGGGCCCTGCGTGATGGCCGCCTCCGTGTTCTGCTGCCTGCGGTGCTGCAGAGACGGCGGAACTGGGCACATTCCTCTGAAGGAGATGCCAGCCGTGCAGTTGGACACGCAGCACATGGGTAAGGGCCCTTCCTTCCCCAGTCCCAACCGCCCAGTTGGTCGTGCGCCGCAAACTGGTCCGGGGTTGGAAGGACCACCTGCGGCTCTGCCCGCGGGGCGCCGCCCCCGCTTCTCCCCCATCGACGCTGCCTGGACCCCGGCTTGATCTCGCGGATCTCCTCCAGACGCCGGCCGACTCCACTTCGGCCCTTCTGTGTTCAAGGCTACGCAGCTCTAGTGGTCAGGATGTGGGTATGTGGACCTGCCCATTTTCACTGAAATATCACAGGAACCTCCTTGGAAATGCCCTCCTGAGACTCTTCAGAGGTCCCCAGGCGAGGGGCGCGGGTTTGGTGCCCCTCCTGCAGTGCCCTACTGTCAAGCTCCATTCAAAACCTGAACATTTTCAGGGTGCTTTAGGTCTGATCCCTGCTCCTTCTGCCAGACAATTTTCTCTCTAGCCCATCATTCACATATTGAAGGTTGATATACTGGAAGTGATTTTCCTCTCACCTTCTAAAGTCAAAACGAGGCAGATTGCAAGAGCCTGAAGTCGCATCTCAGATCACAGTCTGCCATTTCAGCTAAAACCTATTACCTAACTCCTCTGTAGTTACGGTTAAAGGTGTTGTAATTTCATCTGTCTAGCCTCTTCCCAACAGGTCAGGCTATTGCAAATTAAAACAACATTTTGCTCCTTTGCATTTATGTTTTTTCAAATGGGCGTATAACTTCTCATCAGACATTCTTCCTCTCCCCTGTGCAGCCTCTTTCACCCACATTATTTCTGTTCTTAGACTTTTCCCATAGTTTTATGCTTCTGGAGTTTGGCTCTAGAAGCAGAGATTTCCCACTGTTATTATTTCAGTTAGAGTATTTTTTGTGTATCATTCTCTTATAAATATATTTATGCACTTTCGATTTTTCCCACATCTCTCATTGGCTAAAGGAGAATGCATTGAAGTAACAAACTTTGTACGTGGGTATTTATTTTTAATTCTTGGATTTTCTAAGTGTAATACAGAGCCTAACCACATAAATATATGGGAGGTATATATGTATCTGTATATCTCTTTAAATTATTTCTTATCCATTATCATTTATAGACAGGGATTTTCAAATCCTGTTATTTCTCACAGAAAATGCTTCCATTTCACTTACTCATTCAACTGATATTTATTGAGTGACTATCAGTGGCAGGCATTGTTTTAGGTGCTGGGAACACAGTCAAGAACAACCATATGTAGTTCCTGGAGCTTATGATCAATCGGCCTTAGCTCTTTTTATCTACTGCCAAACTCCTGATTTACTGCAGGCTGCTCTTTGGAGCATTCCTTTTCTCTGGTCTCTTCTCTATGAAGAACTGGTCAGTTGTTCTCATTCCACTAACCTTTTCCATGTCTGCTCAGCAACTTTCAGTAGAATAATGTCATCTCCAAATGTACTGCTTGTGTAGAGATTTTTTCTTAACCTTTCTTCCATTAAGTTCAAATTCTTCAATCACAAAAGAAACCTGATTTTAGAAACTGAATAAGAGAGGAAAGGCTTGTTGTGTTAGGAGTACGTTTCAAGCATAAATGAATATTAAATTGAACATATGAGAAGCACACTGAGCAAATATGCATGTATTTGGATATGTGAAAGCTTGTATTAGATAACCTAAAGAATGTAATTGCTTTTTTTTTTTTATAAACAAAATAGTCTCTACATTTCATATCCAAATGAATGTTTTATCTTTCAAAGTTATCATTTATTTTGGTAATGTTGCATTGCTTAAAACCATTTTGGAATTCCTCTGTTGGGATTTTCTATTGGCATAGGTTTTGAAAATATTTGCAATTTTTTCCGTAAAACATACTGTTTTATTTTATTTTATTTTAATTATCCTCACCTGAGGATATTTTTGCATTTATCTTCAGATAGAGCGGGAGGGAGCAAGGGAGGCAGAGAGAGGGAGAAACATCAACGTGAGAGACACATGGATTGGTTGCCACCCACACAACCCCAACCAGGGCTGGGGACGAACTGCAACTGAGGTATGTGCCCTTAGCAGGAATCGAATCTGGGACTTCCCAGTCCATGGGCTGATGCTCTAACCACTGAGCAAAGCCGGCAAGGGCTTAAAACATACTCTTTGATTATGTTTGTATGTGCTCTGACTGTACTCAAATTTGCTTTGACTTTCTGATTAATAAAACTTTACAAATTACATAATTCAAACATACGATATCTTTGTACTTAAAGAAGTAGAATACACTTAAAATAATGCCCCAGTGATTCACAAATACTCCAGAATGTTTCCTGAATATATTCATCTTTCTATATAAAACATCTCAGTACCTAGCAAATGTCTTGGAGATAGAAAATGATATTGAAGTTAGAGAATTATGCCATGCTCAGAGTTGGTTCTGTGGTTCCATCTGAGTAGATTATATTGTATTGAGAGTCTTCTGATACTTCCATTAATTTAGCACGTTAGGATGATATCCAAGACAGTAAGTCATCTACTATAGAAACTTGGTATTAGAAGATTTTAATATGTATGGGAACCTCAGGGCATTGTTAGTTAAGAAAATAATACCACTTATTTGCATAATTCTTTGAAATGTGTTTTACTTAGAATGCTTTTAGTTATAAGTAGTAAAACTACAACTAAGAATTGTTTAAACAATTTATTGTTACATGTAACTGAAAAAAGTATAAAGGCAGCAAGAGCTTTAGGAAAGACTGTTGCCAAGGACTGGGTTTCTTCTCTTCTCTTCTGCTGTTTTGTTGTGAAGGCTGGCTTCCATGATAACGCAGCAGCAGCTTGGGCTTCCTCATTTAGGTCCAGCAAGAATGAGAAGAGTGTCTTCCTTTCTTTGTTTTCTGCAAAAGTCCTGAGACTGTCTCTGATTTTAGTGGCTTAGGTCATATAACCATTTTTTCATTCGGTCACTGTGGCCAAGAAATGTGGAATGCACGATTGACTTAACCTAGGTCAAAGCTGTACCCCTGAAGCCAGAGATTGAGTCAGCTTCCTTGGAACTGTTTTGATCTCCAGCAGGAAAGCTGTCGGGAAAGGGAAAACAGATGCTACATGTCCACTATAAAGTGCTTAGCAGAGCATATATATTCATTCATTTCTATATCATTTATTTGCTGAACATCTGTTAGATGCCAAGCATTACACGGTCTTTGCCATCAAGGAGGAGCTGGGCCCTGGGTCCTATCCAGTTGAAATTGCTGGAGTTATATTTTTTAACCAGGTGTAAATTATAAAGTTACTTACCCAGAATTTGGACTTCAACATTTATAATGAGAAAAAAAGTGGATACTAGTGAATTCTTAATAATCATGTAAGATTCTTAGTTTTACCTTATTTAAGAGAGAGTATCTGTATTAGAGTCTGAAAATTTAGAATTGTAATTGAGACTGAAAATTTTGCATTTCTATTATGTATTTGTCCCAAATAATTTTTGTTTAAACATGAATTCAATCATGAATTAATGACATAACTGCCTCCCTGCTAATACCTTTTGTTACTATGTCCTAGTTTTGTTTAACCCTCTCAGAAGAAGTCCCATGTAGTTCTAATAGCCAGATTTTCTTGGCTTATACACTTATTACCTGTGTTGTAGTAATACTGGCCACGGATCTTGGGAGTCACATGCCTCGGTGTTATGGTATATTTCTTGATATTAGAATTATGTTAAGTCTCTTCATGTTCTCTGATACACATTCTTTCCTTAATCGAGATTTGGAAAAGTATTGGTATTGGGGTCACACTACCAAGACAGTTTTTTCAGTCTCACCTATCCAATGTTACTAAGCTAAACTAAAAATTTCCGTGAAAATCAAATGTTTTTAATGATGTTAAAGCCTTTATTACATATTTGCAATATGATTGATAGTGGCTGTCTTCTAAACATTTTTTAAGATCCTAAAATTAGCATTTTTTAGTGTTACCTATTTCAAGAACATAGATGTATGTTTCTTTCCATATTCTATGTACTCTTCAGTTCTTACTTGACTAATGCACTAGCATACTACTTTGTATAGTAGATATTCAGACAGTTTTTAGTAGATTGTTTTAATTCATTTGTATTGAATTGAAAATTATACTAATTTACTAAAGTTTTTAACTGTTTATGCTTTTATTTAAATTAAGAGATTTATGAAATCAAATTGATTTGTTGACTAAAAATTAAAGTTAATCTATTTCTATATTTAAAGCATTTTAAGTATTCAGCATAATTCAGAGTTTGAAACTGCCTAATTAAACAAGATTTCTAGCTACAAATGAATATTATTAATTTTATTTTTAGAGAGAGAGACATCGACATGATAGATAGATCAGCTGCCTCTTGCACGCCCCCTACTGGTGGTAGAGCCTGCAACTTAGGCATGTATCCTGACTAGGAATCAAACCAGGACCTCAGTCCATGGGACAACGCTCAGTCCACTGAGCCACACCAGCGGGGCTACAAATGAATATTAAATATAAATGTTTTCTCAGGAAAAATAGTGAATTAAATATTTAAATAATTTATCATTATTTCCATATTTCACAGTACATGTAGTGTCCTTGTTTTTTGTGGACCAAGTGTTAAAAGTGAAACAAAAATTAACCTTGATTGTTGGATAACAAAATACAAAACTTTACATTGTCTGCATTTTTTTTGTTTAGGAACAGATGTTGTTATTGTAAAAAATGGAAGAAGAATATGTGGAACAGGAGGTTGTTTAGCCAGTGCACCTTTACATCAAAACAAAAGCTACTTTGAATTCAAAATCCAGTCCACAGGTTGGTATAATGGTACTTTACTATTAAGAGTCCTAATTGTTCTAAATATTAGGAATTTTTTTCAATATATGAAAAAGATTAATGAGGTAATAAAAAAGCTCTAAACTGTTACTTAGAAGATATTTTCTTCCACGTCTTGTGTGATTCTGGTTTAATTAGTTAATTTAGTTAAATTAGATTCAGTTTTCTTTTTTATAAAATGGGTTTAAAGGAGCTGCCCTTCCTGCTGATTCACATGAGCTATATTTATGAAAGTGTTTTAAGGACAGGACATACTAGATCATTGTGAGGCACTGGCATTATTATTAATATAATTAATTATTAATGGAAGCTAGGTACACCATTTCATTTGAACATATAAAATGTAGACTCTTACTGTTGTAACCCAGGAGATCGACCAAACTCAGACGCCGAGATGGGGTTTAATAAAAGGAGTTTATTGAGCTAAATCCGCAGGCACCTGCAGTATGTCCCACACAGGAGTAACTGTGGCCCCGGAGAGCTAAAATGGCTCCTTTTTATAGGATTTTGTAAGGGGGGGTGCTACGTGTAAGCAAGCATGTTACAGAAGCAGAATTTAGCAGTTAGTTAATTACCTGTTACTCAGTTTCGCAGACATCTCAAAGGTCAAGATGTTTTCAATAGATTATCCCTGGCGCCAACCCCAGGATTACTCAAGGGTTAGTTATTACCCCAGGGTTAGCAATTACTTAGGGATTAGCTAGTGAAGAATGTTCTTCAGTAAATGAGTAAACTGACAACCCCTTTGGTTGTCGTGAAGGCCTCTGGGAGTTTGGGTCAATGGCACTGAGTTATAACATTACTATATATTTTAGGTTAATATCAATCTTATGAATCTGAGTTTTTCTCTTTAATTCTTGTTAAGATAGCTTGAAGCAATTAACAGTTTTAGAATTCCAGTAAGTCTCAAGTCTGTGCTTTCTTTAAAATTTAATGGAGTTTCTTTCTTTTTTTTTAACTTATCTTTATTGTTGAATGCATTATAGATGCTCCTCATTTTTCCCCTATTGACCCCCTCCTCCCCACTCCCGCTCCCCTCTTGCCTTTCCCTACACTGTTGTCTGTGTCCACTGGTTATACATATAAGTTCTTTGGTTTATTTCTTCCCACCTCCCAGCCCCTCTTCGCTTTGAGGTTTGTCAGTCTAACAACCAATTTGTACTTCTTAATCCCTTCACCTTTTTCACCCATTCCCCCAAACCCCCTCCCATCTGGCAACCAACAAAATGTTCTCTGTATCTATAAGAATGTTTCTGTTCTACATGTTCATTTTTGTTTGTAGATTCAATTGTCGATAGATATATATTCATTGCCATTTTGTTTGTTCATGTTTATTATCTTTTTCTTCAACAAGACCCTTCAATATTTCATATAATAACGGTTTGGTGGTGATGAACTCCTTTAACTTTTTCTTGTCTGGAAAACTCTTTATATGGCCATCGATTCTAAATGACAGCTTTGCAGATAGAGTAATCTTGGATGTAGGTTCTTGCTTTTCATCACTCTGAATATTTCTTGCCACTCCCTTCTGGCCTGCAAAGTTTCTTTTGAGAAATCAGCTGACAGTCTTATGAGAACTCCCTTGTAGGTAATTAACTGCTTTTCTCTTGCTACTTTTAAGATTCCCTCTTTGTCTTTAACCTTTTGCATTTTGATGATGATGTGTCTTGGTGTGCACCTTTTTGGGTTCATCTTGTTTGGGATTCTCTGTGCTTCCTGGACTTGTATGTCTGTTTCCTTCACCAAGTTAGGGAAGTTTTCTGCTATTATTGTTTCAAATAGGTTTTCGATTTCTTGTTCTCTCTCTTCTCCTTCTCGCACCCCCAAGATGCAAATGTTGGCACACTTTAGTGGTCCCAGAGGCTTCTTTCATTATCCTCATTTTTTTGGATTCTTTTGTCTTTTTGCTATTCTGATTGGGTGTTTTTTGCTTCCTTATATTCCAAATCGATGGTTTGCTTCTTGGCTTTACCTACTCTACTACTGAATCTGTGTAAATTATTCTTTACTTCAGTTAGTGCCTCCTTCATTTCTGACTGGTCCTTTTTTATGCTCTTGAAACCCTCACTAAGTTCATTTAAGCTCTCACTAAGTTCATTGAGCATCCCTATAAGCAGTGTTTTGAACTCAGCATCTGTTAGGTTGCTTATCTCCGTTTCGCTTAGTTATTTTTTAAGGGGTTTGTTCTGTTCTTTCATTTGGGACCTGTTTCTTTGTCACCTCATTTTGGCTGCCTTTCTTTGTTTGTTTCTATGTATTACTTAACAAGAGGTATGGGGCTAGCTGAGACCAGATGCTGCTTGTTTGAAAGAATTTAGGAAAACCTGAAGCAGGATCCAAGACAGGCCAATCCTATGGTAAAGCAACTGGCAACACCTTGGGTGGGCCTGAAAGTGGGGTCAGTCAGGGCCTCAGGGAATCACCAGGGTGGGGCAAACAATGTGAGCCAGGTTGCTGGAGTCTCAGATATGATGGCTGTCTGCTGCCCCAGGGAAGGGCTCACCAAAGGAACAAAGGCCTTTGACAGCACCTCTGTCCAGGAGAAAGCTGCCTCTCCAGCCCTCGCTCCAATGCCAAATAACTCAGTTCTTCCGCATATGTCTTTAAAGCTGCCTCCCCCACGCTAGAGTCTGGAGGAGCGAGTCTGAATCTGAGTAAGTCCGTGTGCGGGCCCTTTAAGAGGATCTGCCTAGGGCTCCAGCAGCCTCAGCCTCCCTCAGCCTCAGTTTCTGCTGGTTTTATAGCCAGAAGTGATGGGGATTCTCTTCCTGGCACTGAAACCCTGAGCTGGGTGCCTGGGGTGGGATGGGGACCCCTCAGTCCTGGGGGAGAACCTTCCCAGCCAAGGTGTCCTCCTGATTTTTATCCCCCACACGTGAGTGTGGGACTAGCCCGTCGGGCCTCTGCCCCTCCTACCAGTCTGGATGTGGCTGCTTCTTTAATCCCGTAGTTGTAGGACCTTCATTCAGCTTGATTTCAGGCGGCTTTGAATGATGGTTGTTCTGTAGTTTAGTTGTAACTCTGATGTGATTGTGGGAGGACGCGATACCACGTTTCCCTACGCTGCCATCTTGATCGGAAGTCCTGCTGTTTCTTGAATTGTATGATAAGTCTATGTGAGTACTATAATGGTTAACAAATCAGTTAACTTGTGGCAATATTGAATATGAGGAATTTTTAAAAACTGATTGATTTTAGAAAGAGAGACATCAATTTGTTGTTCCACTTATTCATGCATTTATTGGTTGGTTCCTATATGTCCCCTGACCAGGGATCGAACCTGCACCCTGGCATATCCAGACGACGTAACTAACTGAGCAACCTGGCAATTTTTTAAAGCTTTATTATAAAGAAACTTCTAGTAAAACACAGTATATGAGTAATGTAGATGTAGAATAGGAACACTAGAGTGGAGTAAATCAATCCTACTCTTATCCGACTGGCTTTAATGATATAAAACATTCCTCTGGAACTTGTTTTCTAATTAGTTTTTTTTTTAGTTTCATTTTTTTCTAATTAGTTTTAAATACTGATTTTCTTAAGTGCATGAAGTAAATATAATCTGTCCTCTATTCCGTTCTAAGTTAACTCACTGGCTGCAAAATGTCTCTGGTTACTGTGACCTTCTGAAGTATAACATACCTTTTCTCAAGAAATGCAAATATTTTCTTGAGCCTTATATCTAACACCAATTTTTATGTGGATTTTCTGTAAAGGATGATATGCCTAAGATAAATGTGCTGTTGGAATTTGTTGCATTGATTTCAGTGAAAGATTGAGACAGTTGTGTCAACGTGTATCACAGCATGCACAGTTCTTTAGGAGTAAGAAGACTCTCTAACCCTGTTTAGAACTGTTGTCATGTGAAATTAGTTATATTATCTCTTATCACTCTTAAAATTGTCCCATTTTGGAGGATAAATTATAATAGTCAAACTATTTAGGAGGACAAGACAGTGAAGTTGAGACATGCAGCTTTTTGATGATCTCACTCAATCCAGAAAAATTCTTTGACAACATGGTGTTCAGATCTTCTATTCATAGAATTTGTCCTAACTGATTTTGATAAAAGACTGGGAAGGAGACGGTTTGAGACAAAATTCAGAGATCTAGGTATTCTGTTTGGCTATTTGTTGTGAAAGTTGTTTGCTTTATTTTTCTTTTTTTTTTATTTATTTTTTTAATCCTCACTCGAGGACATTTTCCCATTTTTTTGTTCGGAGTGGAAGGGAGAGAGAGGAAAAAAGAGAGAGAGAGAGAGAGAGAAACATCGAGGTGAAAGGGACACATCGAGTGGCTGCTACCCGCCCGACCCAACCAGGGTCGGGGGACAAACTGCAACCGAGGTACATCCCCTTAGCTGGAACTGAACCCAGATCTCTCTGGACCGTAGGCCGACACTCTAACCACTGAGCAAAACCGGCCAGGGCAAGAGTTGTTTGCTTTAAAAGTCAGCTTAGGCCAAAAGGTTTTAAATTCACTGATTTAGGTATTGGATGAGAAAATTATTTTACCCTTTATCAATAATTTTCTCTCCGTGATGTTGACTGAGTCATATGTTTTGCCACATATTATAAGATGCAAAAACTAAAGATTGTAATTTCCTACTTCTCAGAGGTAGTGAAAGAAATAGAAACCCAGGCCATTTAAATTCAATGTGTAGCTTCTAAAACATCATTTTTAGAGAAGAAGAAGAAGAATGAAAATAGTATATTTTTAAATATTTACTGTGTGCTTTACTTACACATTTTTGAGTACTTAAACCATTGCCAAGTGCTTTGCCTGAGTTATCTCACTATATCTTATAATAACCTTGCGAGGTAAGTACTGTTGGAATCCACAATTCACAGGTGAGTAGACAGTGAGAGGTTAAGTGACTTACCCAAGATAACATAGCTAAATTCTGCCTACGATTTAAACCTACGCAGTATAACTCTAAGACTCACTCTTATCTCCTAGGCTATACTATGTCTGCAGAGAACCTAGTATAATTTGCAAAGTACTTTTTAAATATTTTTGGGGAGAAAAAAAATGATCAACAAAAAATAGTTTATTATATTTTCAGGAATCTGGGGTATTGGTGTTGCAACTCAGAAAGTTAATTTGAATCAAATTCCTCTCGGCCGAGATGTGCACAGTCTGGTGATGAGAAATGATGGAGCTCTATACCACAACAATGAGGAGAAAAACAGGCTGCCAGCCAACAGCCTTCCACAGGAGGGAGATGTGGTGGTGAGTTTTTTTGTGGAGTTGTCTTCCACTGTATATTATTAAACTTGAGCTGCTTTTAGATTATGTACTTTTGAGTTTGTAGTTAGAATTCCAAAGCACTGGGATTATATCTAATGAAGTGGTACATTTTCTAAAGAGCACTTGGTGTGAGTGCTGCCGCCTTACCAAACTGTTCTTCCTACAGCTGTCACTGGTGAGGGATATCAGTGTGAGCCTTATTTTCATGAAGGAGAGTTAATTACAGATTGGCTGCTGATCAACATTTCCTGCTTCTCCAACATCAGAGAAATCTTGGCCCACAATTTTAAAAGTTCACTCACCCTTATATTGGGAAATAGTAGGTATTTTTGCAGCTGGAGATCTCTTAGAGGAAATTTTGACATTTACTACTTAATTTGTTATGAATTTCTGTTAAAGAATAACAGCATTTTATCAGGAGTGTTGGTCCTCATTAAATTTAGTTTTATTAAACTTACTTCACTTTCAGAACTCTTCAAAGAAATAGACTTGAAATCCTAAGGCTTTACCAAAGCTGCCCTATTGAAAATGTGACCCAAAGATCCCTTTCTGTCTTTTCCAGATACTTTCTCTTGTATGGTGTTATTCAAAAACCTTTAGACACTGAGTTTAGTCTGTTAGCTATTGATTGAGAACAGAGTTCTTGAGTCTCCTTTTGCAAAGGTGCCCTTATACACAGAACTGTGAGTTCCTGGCCCTGTACCATGAAAGGCATTTGTAAATAATGAGGGAAAATTTCTAATACTAAGGTGACAAAGATAAGGTAAAGTTAGGGAATTAAAAAAAATACACAGTATTTTAGAGAAAATGAAGAAAAGTGTGGAAAGATTTTTAATTATGGTCCAATCGCTTTTCTGCAATTTAAATATAAAGAACACTTGTCTGGCCAGTGTGGCTCAGTGGTTGAGCATCGACCCATGCACCAAGAGGTCACTGGTTGAATTCCTGGTCAGGACACATGCCCAGGTGTGGGCCCGATCTCCAGTGGGGGCATGCAGGAGGCAGCCAGTCAATGTTCTCTCTCATCGATGTTTCCATCTCTCTCTCCCTCTCACTTCCTCTCTCTCTAAAATCATTAAAGGAAAAAAATTATTTTCAAATAAATAAATATAAAAAACACTTGGTTTTTATTTGTTTGCTTATTTGTTTATATATCTACTTGGTTAATCTTCACCCGAGGATATTTTTCCATTGTTGTTGTTTTTTAATTAAGATAGAAGAGAGGAAGGGAGGGAGGAAACGTGTATGTGAGAGAGAGAGACAAAGATTGGTTGCCTCCCATACAACCCCTGACTGGAGCCTTGGATCAAACCTGCAGCCCAGGAACGTGCCCTTGACCAGGAATCAAACCTGAGACCCTTTGTTCCAAAGGCTGATGCTCTGACTGCTGAGCGAACCTGGCCAGGGCTGCACTTGGTTTTTAAATAGGTAAATTGTTAAAGTGTTTTTCTCCATAAATTGACTAAAGAAAAAAAAGACAAAAGACAAACTTTTTTAAAAGTTTGCTTTCTCTGTTTTTTTGAATAGTTGGTTCTGTATTTGTAGATCACTGCCAGATGTTCATAATATGGAACACTGTTATTCAAATGATTATTTCTTGAAAGAGAATCTTGAAGTCACATTGATGCTGTGAACCCGTTTACACTAAAAGATGAAATTTGAACATGAGAAAGGATAATCAGTAAAAAATGTCTTTGTTAATGAACTGAAATTCTGTGTGTTATTCTTGCCTTCCTATTTCATTCATTAAGATGATTGATACCATAAATTGACAGATTTAATTTAAGAATGTCATTTTTAGTCTTTTGGCATTATTAAGTTAGACTTTGATTTTCACGTCCATTTGATAAAGGAGAACTAAAAAAAGATGAAATACATGCAGAATCAAGAAAATAAAACATTATCCTACCATATTAATTTTATCTTCCTACTTCATGCACTTGAGAACAAATTTCATCAAATTGCTGACAGTGGCATAGCAAAAGTAGAATGGATCATAAGCCAGGAAAGACATTCTCATATGTGTAGAATTTCAGTCATATACCATTCTCTGAGGAAAAATAAGCTTTCAACATTTAACCAAATGATTATATTCATATAATAATCATATAGTACCAACAGACTACTACAGCACTAGGAAGGCATACCTGAAACAGTTAATGCTTATTTTTTCCTTTTATAGATAATTTTGAAAAGTGCAAATTACATTTTTTTAGTTTAATTTTAGAGAAGTCTGGTAAACATTCTATGTAATAATAAAAGCAAATACTTCTCTAGCATTTATTATGGGACAGGCACTGTTTTAAGTGCCTGTCAGAGATTAAATTGTTTAATCTTCATAATGACCATTTTACAGATTGGGAGAAGTTAGGTAAATTCTTGTACAGTTGATCCCAGAATTATACAGACAGTTTAATTTCTGAGCCTGTTCACTAAACCTACAGTTATTGATAAATACATCAATATGTCAAAATCAAAGCTAATTTCTAGATCATGTAAAAGGACAGATTAAGTTAGAAAATACTTGAACCAAATGCTGCTGATGGGGTACGTGGAGGGGGGGGGTCTCACATCCTTCTTCATTTTTTCTTTGGTATTGGGATGTATTGGGATTTTGCATTTAGCTAGAGGCTTGGGTTTAAAACTTGCTTGTTTGCAATGTGTTATGCTGCCACCAGGTGGCGAAGGGTACCTGGATTACAACTTGATCTGAGTGGTTCGATTTCTTATAGTCCTATGGAGTTAACACTTTGCTTTTTTTGTAATTGTGTTTTTGTTTTGTTTTGTTTTTTTTATCCTCACCCGAGGACATTTTTCCATTTTTTGTTCAGACAGTGGGAGGGAGAGAGAGAGAAACATCGATGTGAAAGGGACACATCGAGTGGCTGCCACCCACACGACCAACCAGGGCCGGGGACAAACTGCAACTGAGGTACATGCCCTTAGCGGGAACCGAGCCCACGACTCTCTGGACCACAGGCCCATGCTCTAACCTCTGAGCCAAACCGGCCAGGGCGTGTTTTTGTTTTTTCAAATGAAAACAGACCTTTTCATTAAAAAAGCTAATCCCAGCTATCAGTTAGTTTTATTATTATATTTAAATACCTAAACTGAAATGAAACAAAGGCAATCTGTTTATCTTTCTCAATATTCCTTAACTTTCATTTTTATTTTTTATTCCTTACCCAAGGATACTTTTCTACTTATCATCAGACAGAGTGGGAGGGAGGTAGAGAGAGAGAAACAGAGAGAAACACTGATGTGATAGAGCCACATCGACTGGCTGTCTCCCACACAACCCGACCAAGGCCAGGAACAAACCACAACGAAGGAACGTGCCCTTGACCGGAATCGAACCCACGACTCAGTGGTCCATGGGCCGATGCTCTAACAACTGAGCAAAACCAGCCAGGGCAGTATTCCTTAACCTTTTTTTTTTTTTAAATCTTTATTGTTGGATGTAAAATGTATTACAAATGTTCCACATTTTTCCCCCATTGACCCCCTCCTTCCCACTCCCGCCCCCCTCCCACCTTTTCTCACACTGTTGTCTGTGTCCATTGGTTATGCATATAAGTTCTTTGGTTTATTTCTTCCCACCATCCCCCCCCTCTTTCCCTTTGAGGTTTGTCAGTCCAGCAATGAATTTGTACTTCTTAATCCCTTCACCTTTTTCACCCATTCCCCCAACCCCCCTCCCAACTGGCAACCAACAAAACGTTCTCTGTATCTATGAGAATGTTTCTGTTTTACCTGTTCATTTTGTTTGTAGATTCCATTGTCGATAGATATATATTCATTGCCATTTTGTTTGTTCATATATTTTATCTTTTTCTTCAAAAAAACCCTTCATCATTTCATATAATAACGTTTAATACATGATTTTAACCATGGCTTTGCTAAGATTTGAAGAAAATATTTTATAACTCGTAAATATTGAGTTATCTGAGCCTTTGCTGTTTTAACTGGAAAGTGAGAGAATAAAGACTAGATCATCTGTAAGATCTTTTTCTATCTCTGAAAAGCTTTTAAGTTGGTACAATTTATCCATAGTCAGAAATCTTTAAAGTGGTTGCTTCTTGGTCTGTGATGATTTCTCTGTTGAAAAATCTCTGCTGTCTAGTCTTAATTCTTCCAAGGAAACCTCCTTTGTCATCAGTCAGTAACTACTGTGTAAAGTTTTAAAGAGCATTTTAAAAGTTTAAACTTACATGCCAATTAAGAATAAGTGTTCCACCCTGGCTGGTTGGGCTCAGCCATTGGAGCATCGGCCTGTGGACTAGAGTCCTGGGTTCAGTTCCCGGTAGGCCCTAGTGGCTAGGGGCATGTACCAAAAAAATAAAAAAAGAATAAGTGTTCCAGCTCTGGCCAGTTTGGCTCAGCGGTTAGAGCATTGGCCAGCAGAACAACGAGTCTCGGGTTCAATTCCGCTGAAGGGCATGTACCTTGGTTGCGGTTCAGTCCCTGGTCCTGTTTGGGGTCCGGTGGGAGGCAATCAATCGATCTGTCTCTCTCACATCGATGTTGGTCTCTCTCTCTCTCTCCTTCCTTCCCACTCTGTCTGAAAAGGAAAAATATCCTCAGGTGAGGATTTAAAAAAAAGAAAAAAGAATAAGTATTCCAAAATCATGCTGCATAGGCTTTCCAGCTGTGCATCCACAGGTAAATTCTTTAAATTCATTGCGCTTTAGCTACCTCATCTGTAAAATGGAGACAATAATATTGTCTGTTTTGTTGTGAGGATTAAATGAGTAAACATGAAGTGCCTAAAATAGTGTTTGGTATCTAAGTATTTTCCAGCATTTTATTACCAGTATTATTATTATTTGTTAATCCTCACCCAAGGATATTTTTTCCATTGGTTTTTAGAGTGGAAAGGAGGAACGGAGGGAGAGAAAAAGAAACATTGATGTGAGAGAGACACATCGATTGGTTGCCTCCCACATGTGTCCCAACGGGGGCCAGAGTTCGAACCTGCGCTGTAGGTACATGCCCTTGACTGGGAATTGAACACAAGACCCCTGGCCAGGGCAATAATAATTATTATTTTCATACCACTAATAATGTACAAAGTAGGATTTTTTATTCCAATGTGTGTTTTTTTTAAATCTTTTAAATTGTTGTTTTTTCTTTTTCATTAAAATTTTTTTTTTCTATTTTTCAAGTTGATAGTAAGTACTAATTATAGTGGATCCTTGCACAATGCAGGGGTTAGGGGCACTGACCCACTGCATAGTCAAAAATGCACATATAACTTTTGACTCTCTGAAAATGTAGTTTTCCCTCAATATTCATGGGGGATTGATTATAGGACCACCTGTGGGTACCAAAATTCACGGATGCTCAAGTCCCCTATATAAAATGGCATAGATTGATGCATATAGTTGACCCTCCCCTTATGTGACTCCCAACTGTGGATTAAAACATTACATGTTTCTATTAAAAATATCTGCATATAAGTGACCTACACAGTTCAAACCATGTTGTTCTAGGGTCAACTTTATAGTCAGTTGTAAATACCAGTTTTACCTTGGTAATATACTTGACATATTTGAAACCAAGATAAGAAATACAGAAAATGCCCGGCCAGTGTGGCTCAGTGGTTGAGTGTTGACCCATGGACCAAGAGGTCACTGGTTAGATTCTCAGTCACGGCACATGCCCAGGTTGTGGGCCTAATCCCCAGAGTGGGGCATGCAGGGGCAGCCAGTCGATGTTCTCTCTCATCAATGTTTCTGTCTCCCTTTCCCTCTCCCTCTCCCTCTCCCTTCCTCTCTCTCTAAAATCAATAAAGAAAAAAATATTTTTTAAGAAGAAACCATACATTTCTCTATTTCTTAACTTTTTTTAAATTGATTTTAGAGAGAGAAAAGGAGAGGGTAAGGGAGACAGAAACATGGATGAGAGAGAACATCGATTGGCCACCTCCTGCACACACCACCCCTGGGAATCTGGCCCACAACCTGTACATGTGCCCTGACCTGGAATCAAACCGGCGACCTCTTGGTGCGTGGGTCAATGCTCAACCACTGAGCCACACCGGCAGGGCTGTATGATTTCTTTTTTTTTTTATTTTTTTTTTATTTTTTTGTTACAGATATTTTACCTTTTTACCCCATTGGCACCCCCCACCCCACCCCCCCTCCACCCTGTCCCCGGCTTAGTTGTCCATGTCCATTGGTCATGCATACATGCATATAAGTTCTGTGGTTTATCTCTTCCCACCCCCCCACCCCCCATCCCCTCTTCTGAGGGATGTCAGTCTGTGCCCTACTTCCATGTGTCTGGGTCTACTGTATTCCTCAGACTGTTATGTTCATTATATTCCGTATATAAGTGAGATCATGTGGTATTTGTCTTTTTCTGCTTGGCTTCTGTCACTTAGGATAATACTTTCCAGGTCCCTCCATGTCGTCTCAAAGGATAAGAGATCTTTCTTTCTTACCGCTGCATAGTATTCCATTGTGAATATGTACCACAGCTTTTTGATCCATTCATCTACTGGTGGACACTTGGGCTGTTTCCAGATCTTAGCTATTGTAAATAGTGCTGCTATGAACATGGGGGGATTTCTTTTTGGAAATAAATTGTATAAAGATACTTCTTCACAACATGAAAACAATAACAAGTAGTAAGCCCTAATGGTGAAAACTTCATTGTTTCCCCCCACTTCAGATCAAATTCTGCATATAGAGAGAGCAGTGTTTCTGTATGAGTTTTAAAGGTCTCTCTGTTCATAGTATGCCAGTAGTTATATCATCTTCAATATTCAAAATATAAAATCCAGATTATCTAAATGTAAAATACTAGGATTTAAACTGATGTCACTTGTTTTACCTCTAATGTGGATTTTTGGGAGTTTACCTTCCCCCACCCCCATGTAATAACCACCATTTTTCTTTTAGCTCAGTTCAGGTAGAAGTCTATCAAATTGTAAACCCTTAAGGAAAGCTGTTGTGACCCTCTGTTTAATAGTTGGTGTTCCATGTTCCACAATTAGTGCTTCCTGACTGGTAAGGTTTTTATGAGATATTTTTATTATTACCATTTTTAATATTTTCTTTTGTTCCTAGGGTATTACATATGACCATGTAGAATTAAATGTATATTTGAACGGGAAAAACATGCATTGTCCAGCATCAGGTATACGGGGGACAGTGTATCCAGTTGTTTATGGTAAGCTAAAATATTTCTAAATATTATTAGCTATATGTTAACTTTTGCTAAGGACCTTTTACAGGGAATGTATTCAGTAGGATATCACAGTCCTGATTTTCTGGACTAAGGAAGATTTTTATTCTCAATAAAAGGTGTATAAGTATTACAGTTTCTGTATAAGTGTGTCCTGCAACAATTGGGTTACTTAAGAGATAACCTTATACCACTTAATTACTTTAATTTTTATTATAGAAAATTTGAAACATGTTGAGAAATAAAGAGATATCATGAACCCTCATGTACCCATCACCTATCTTTTTTTTTTTTTTTATCCTCACCTGAGGACATTTTTTCCATTTTTTGTTCAGATAGAGTGGGAGGGAGAGAGAGGAAGAGAGAGAGAGGGTAACATCGATGTGAAAGGGACACATTGAGTGGCTGCCACCCGCACGACCAACCAGGGCCGGGGACAAACTGCAACCGAGGTACATGCCCTTAGCGGGAACCGAACCTGTGTCTCTCCGGACCGCAGGCGGATGCTCCAACCGCTGAGCCAAACCGGCCAGGGCCCCATCACCTATCTTCAAATAATTATTAACTTGTAGCCACTCAGATTTCATCTAACGCCAACACTCCTGTTTTTTACCTCCTCTCCTTCGATTATTTTGAAACAAATGCCAAATATTATATTTTACTCATAAACATTTTATGTGTATATCTAAAAAACAAGGTATCTTTCTTAAAAAAAAGATACATAGCCAGAATGCCTTTATCACTCTATTCGGCTTTATTTTTTAGGTTACCAACTTTAAATCACCAGGTATATGAGTTTTCTGCCTTTGGTTTTAGTAGATCTAAAAGTATTTTCTCATTTAACTACTTGATTTAAGTTCTTATATTTGAGCCATAATAAAAACAAATTTTTAACTTTTTGTAGCAATTTCCTAGAAAATTAGCAATGTTTGTGAGGACATACTGCTTGGGATGTCAGAAAAGTAAACAATAAAAAATATAAATATTTAATAATGTAATAATAACCAAAGCCTGTATTTTTTTTAATGGATAACTTTCTATTTAAATTTTTTTTGATTGATTTTTTTTTTTTTTTTTATATAGGAAGGGAGAGAGAGATAGAAACATCAGTGTGAGAGAGAAACATCTATCGGCTGCCTCCTGCACACTCCCTAGTGGAGATTGAGCCTGCCATCCAGGCATGTTCCCTGACCAGGAATTGAGCTGGGGCCTCTGAGTCCATGGGGTGACGCTCAGTTCACTGAGCCACACCAGCTGGGCCTGCGCTTTACTTTTTAATGAAAGTTTTTATTGGTCTTCTTTTCTCTAAAAGATTACTTTTCAATTATTTTACCTTCTCTATCTTTGCATGTAAAAGTATTTTTTGCGTTTTTTTAATCCTCATTCGAGGATATGTTTATTGATTTTAGAGAGAGGAAGGGAGAGAGAGAGAAACATCAGTGTGAGAAACATCAATCAGTTGCCTCCCTTACCTGTCCTGGGGATCGAACCAGCAACCTAAATATGTGCCCTGACCAGGAATCAAATGCACAGTCTTTTTGGTATATGGAACCATGCTCCAACCAAGCCTCCTGGCCAGGGCAAAAGTGTATTTTTAAACTCAGTTTTGGTTAGCTTTCTTTCCATATTGGTACACCTAAAAGCAGTTCTTTTATTCACTTAAATAAATGGAAATGTAGCTTACGTTTACCTGAGAAACGAAATAAATATCAGTAGAATGACTGAGTTATAAACGAGTAGCAAATAAAATTATTACTCTAAATTGTTTCTTTGGTTCAGCATTATTATTATTTTTTTTATCCTTGTTGAAAGTATTACAGATGTCTCCATTTCTCCTTCATTGCCCCCACCACCTGGTTCCTGCCCCACCCAAGGCCTTCACCACACTGTTGTCTCTGTCCATGGGCTATGCAAATATGCATATAAGTTATTTGGTTAATCTCTTCCCACCCCCCTCCTTCCTTCCTTCTGAGATCTGTCAGTTTGTACCATGGTCCTATTTTGTTTGTCAGTGTCTTTTGTTCTTTATATTCCACATATAAGTGAGATCATGTGATATTTGTCTTTCTCTGACTGGCTTATTTTGCTCACCATACTACTCTCCAGGACCCTCCATGCTGTCTCAGAGGATAAGAGATCCTTCTTTTTGAACAGCTCCATGGTATTCCATTTTGTAAATGTACCACAGCTTTTTTATCTTCTCATCTACTGACAGGCACTTGGGCTGTCTTCAAATCTTAGCTATTATGACTAGCACTGCTATGAACATAGGGGTGCATATATTCTTTCTGATTGGTATTTCAGGATTCTTAGGATAGAAGTGGGATCACTGGGTCAAACAGCATTTCCATTTTTAATTTCTTGGGGAAATGCCATTCTGTTTTCAATAGTGGTTGTATCACTCTGCATTCCCACCAGCAGTGTACTAGGGTTCTCCTTTCTCCACATCCTTGCCAGCACGTGTTATTTGTTGATTTATTGATGGTAGCCATTCTGGCAGGTGTGAGGTATAATACCTCATTGTCATTTTAATTTGCATGTCTCTGATGATTAGTGACTTTGAATACTTTTTAATATGTCTCTTGGCCATCTGTATCTATATCATCTTCGGAGAAGTGTCTATTTAGGTGCTTTGCCTATTTTTTAAAAAATATGTTTTTATTAATTTTTTTTAGAAAGTTAGAAACATCAATGTGAGAGAGAAACATTGATTGGCTGCCTCCTGCACACTCCCTACTGGGGAATGAGCCCTCAACCTGGGCATGTGCCCTGACCGGGAATTGAACTGGAACCTCTCAGTCCATTGGACAATGCTCAATCCACTGAGCCACACTGGCTAGGCATGCTTTGTCCATTTTCTAATTGGATTGTTTGTCTTCCTTTTGTTGACTTGTATGAATTCTTTATGTATTTTGAAAATTAACCACCTCATATGATGGGTTCCCTTTATATTTGAAGATCATTTCTTTTGCTGTGCAGAAGCTTTTAGTTTGATGTAGTCCCACTTGTTTATTTTTTCCTTTGTTTCTCTTGCCCTAGGAGATGTATCAGAGAAAATTCTGCTACATGAGATGTCTAAGATGTTGCTGCATATGGTTTCTTCTAGGATTTTTATGATTTTATGACTTACAATTAAGTCTCTTATCCATTTTGAATTTATTCTTATGTGTGGTATAAATTGGTAGTTTAATTTTATTTTTTTACATGTAACCTGTCCAAGTTTCTCAACACCATATATTTACTCCATTGTATACTCCTGTCTCCTTTGTTAAATATTAAAGAGTGTAATGGCTTGAGTCAATTTCTGTGTTCTGTTTCACTGATCTGTATGCCTGTTCTTGTGCAAGTACCAGGCTGTTTTGATTACAGTGGCTTTGTAGTATAATTTGATATCTGGTATTAACATCCCTCCAACTTAGTTCTTTCTCAAGTTTACAGCGGCTATTCAGGGTCTTTTTTGTTCCATGTAAATTTTTGGAGTTTTTGTTTTAAATCTGGAAATATTCCATTGGTATTTTAATAGGGATTGAGTTGTATCCATAGATTGCTTTGGGTAGTATGGACATTTTAATGTTAATTCTTCCATTCTATGAAAACACAATAACTTCCTCTTGTTTGTTGCTTTCTCACTTTCTTTTTAAATGTTTTGTAGTTTTCCAAAAACAAGTCTTTAACCTCCTTGGTTAAGTTTATTCCTAGGAATCTTATATTTTTTGTTGGAATTGTAAAAGGGATTGTTTTTTTAGTTTCTCTTTCAGCGAGATCATTATTGGTGTATAAAAATACCATCGATTTCTGGATGTTAATTTTGTATTCTGCTACATTGCTGAATTAATTTATTAACTTGAGTAATATTTTGGTGGAGTCTTTACTGTTTTTTATGCACAATATTATGTCATCTGCAATAATGATAGTTTTACTTCCTCCTTTCCAATTTTGATGCCTTTTAGTTTTTCTTCTAGTCTGATCACTGAGGCTAGGACTTCAGTACTGTGTTGAATAAGAGTGGTGAAAGTGGACATTCCTGTCTTATTACTGTTCTTAAGGGAAATACTTTTAGTTTTTGCCCATTGAATATGATGTTGGTTGTAGGTTTGCCATATATGACCTTTATTACATTGAGGAATGATCCCTCTGTTCCTGCTTTGCTGAGTTTTTATTGAAAATGTGTGCTGAATTTTGTCGAATGATTTTTTTGCATCAATTGATATGATCATATTATTTTTATCCTTATTTTGTTAATATGATGTATCACATTTATTGATTTGTGAACATGGTACCAGCCTTTTATTCCAGGAATAAATCCCACTTGGTCATGGTGTATGATCTTTGTAATGTATTGCTGGATCCTATTTGCTAATCTGTTGAGGATTTTACGATCTATATTCATCAGGGATATTGGCCTATAATTTTCTTTCTTTGTAGTGTCTTTATTTAGTTTTGGAATTAGGATAATGTTGGCCTTGTAAAAAGAACTTGGTAGTCTTCCTTCCTGTTGAATATTTTGGAGGAATTTGAAAAACATAGGTGTTAGTTCTTCTTTGAATGTTTGGTAAAACTCCCCTGTGAAGCCATCAGGTCCAGGACTTTTGTTTGCTGGAAGTTCTTTTTTTATTAATGTTTCAATTTCATTAATTTTTATTGCTCTATTCAGGTTTTCTGATTCTTCCTGATTGAGCTTTTGAAGATTGTATGTTTCTAGAAATTTGTCCATTTCTTTCAGATTGTCCAATTTGTTACCATATAGTTGTTCATAGTATTTTCTTACAATCCTTTGTATTGCTGTGTTGTCAGTTATTACTTCACCACTTTAATTTCTGATTTTATTTATATAGGTCCTCTCTCTTTGTTCTTGATGAGTCTACCTAAACGTTTATCGGTCTTGTTTATCATCTGAAAGACCCAGCTCTTGGTTTCATGGGTCTTTTGTATTTTTATTTAGTCTCTATGTCATTTATTTCCACTCTGATCTTTATTATTTCCTT